GGTCACTGGCTGTGCCCGTCGGCATTTCTTACCCCGCTTCTCCACGCTGGCTGCTCGGAGGGGCTCAGCCCAGGCCACCGCGCAGGACTGGTGCTTGACCCGCTGCAAATCCATCTCTGGGATGTGTTTCTGAGAGCTCATTCAAGGCTTTACCCTCAGCAATCGGCAGCCATCAGACGTGTCGACACAAAGGCTTTGAGGGCAACCTTTCCAACCACAGCTACCGCTCTTGGCCGTGGTTCCTCAGGACCTTGCTCCCATCCTGCTCCTTCATGTTTGGCATTGGCTGGCATCAGGCTCGTGGGAACAAGCTCTGTGTCTTCTTCACCTGAGATCAAATCTTCAGGCCTCAGCAGCTGTTTTGTCTCCTCCAGCAAGGCCAAATTCATCCAGCTTCCGATCAGACTTTACCTTTCAGGGGATGTCACACACCCAGGAAGAAATCGCAGGGAAAGCAGGCAGTTTCCAGCCGAAGCCAGCACCCCCCGGGCCAGCGAAGCCCACCAGGACGGTGGCCTGGGCCAGGACAGGGAACCTCGGGCTCTTCCAAACCACCCTTCTCCTGCTGCATTTCTCACAAACCAGCAACGGGACCATCGCTGGAGAGCCTGGAGCGAAGGGGTGATCCGGCACCAACTCCTCAGCACTGGGCTGGGGTCCAAGTAGGCAGGGACGGCTTAAAGCCTCCAGACATGGAACTGCACAGGTGAGGGCAGGGCCATTAGGATGCACCCGGGTGTAAGGGCAGGATGGGGCCGACCACCCACAGGACCCTGCACTGCCCGACCGGGCAGCTAGGCAGACCACAGCCAGCAGCAAAGCAAGCTGGAAAAACAATTTTGCCTTTAAAGTTGTACCATAATAGTTTTGCATTCCTCTGCACAGAAGGAAAGATTGTTTTAATGTCCAGGGCCCAGCTACGGAGAACGCAGCTAGGGAGGAAAGTCGTGATCAATTATTTAGAAGAGACTTTTAGTCTCACATCAAAGGTTTATCTTCTGCCTTCGTACATCTGAACTAAGTGCCATTTCCCCGTGGAACAGGGCACAAAGCAAACATAGAGGCTCTAATTAGCACACCCAGGAGCCCAGTATTTTCCAGTTTTCTGCGACTCCTCCAAGCTACGCAGCCAAGAGCCCAGCAGCTCACACCCCGGCTCCAGGAGCCAGCCTGGCTGCCAGGAAGTTTAGAGTTAGAATACACAACTTGGAAATGAATTACCTGTTTGAACAGAAGGGAAGAGCTCTCCTGGAAGAGCGCAGAGCAGTACCAGAAGAGCTGGGTTCAGGCATCCTTCTGGAAAATAACCCGTGGGGCCCGTCCTGCCCCAGGCCGCCAGGGCAAAGGGAACAAACACAATCGGTCGCTGCTACGGGAAGAGCAACGACAATCCATCCATCCTCAGGAGGTTTGATCCAACCTCTGCTGAAGGCACTTTTGGTTTTAAATGTACGCAGTGAAGACTGAAGACCACCGACCCAGGATGGGCTCGGTAAGAGCAACCAGAGGACCTTGGTGATCTCTAGGGTTAGTCTCTACTCCAGCCCTATTCTCCATTTCCCAGGGGAAGGTTCCTGCAGTGTAACCACCTATAAATACAGACACTGAAGGGGCTCACACCTGGTTTGCATCCCCTCAGCAGACAAAGCAAGCTCTAAGTTGTGCTGCTGCTGCTCAACGAGACGTGGTCCTCTTGTCTTTGCTCAGAGCAGCTCTGCAGAAACCAAGCAGCGAGCTGCAAGGCTGCACTCCCCTGCGCTCACTCCCAATCTTCCCAGGCTCGTCCCGAGCTTATGAGCCTTTCCTGTGACAGGCACCAACACAACCCTGTAACCAATCTCAACAGAAATTAAATCTCTCCAGCTCAACAGACAGCCCCTGCCTTCACAGAAGCCCCTGGCTGCTCTACTTCCACTTCAAAAGCCATTTTTAAGTTTTCTTTGTAAGAATTAATTTTTTTCAATCGCAGGGAACGACCTCCAGCAAGGGCAGCATATTCTGTACAATTGCATTAATCAAAATCTGCATCAAAGACCTGGATGATCCTTGCAGGGAAGGTCTCCAATGGCTTCCATCACTTCTGGAAGGGCCTGGGGCTGCTGGAGGTGCAGCCAGGCTGGGCGGTCTCACCAAGGGGAGAGCTGGAGTCCCTCCGCGAACCAAACACTGAGGCTCTGACACTTGAAAATAATCATTTTGTGTAAGAGGAACAGCCTCCCTGGGTAAAGGCTGCACGCTCACGGACATGACAGAGGAAAACATGATGCAGGGCAGGTGGAGAAGGAGAACGTGTGCTGGGAGAGGGAGAGGAGGTTCCATGCAGAGAACGGGTCACACTTCACAGGGCTTACAACCACCACAGTCCTCCGTGCTGCCACCAAACATATTTCTGGCTGCAAAGTTGTGCTGCCCAGCTCTGGTCATGCCTGGAGGCATCGCCGCCGGCTGCTGACGCACTTCACATCAGAGGGCCAGGAGAGCTCAGCAAAGGAGGCAGCTTTGAGGAGTGTCTTCAGTGCTCTGGTCGGACGACAAATCCCCTCAAGGCAACAGCACCTAGAGCTAGCGCTGAGCAGAGGAGTTTACGTAAACGAAGAATTAGCTTGATTATCCTGCCAAGTGGAGCTATCAGCAACGACAGATGTGAGACAAGAAGAGCAAGCACCAGGGGACTTCTGAACATGGTCCAACTCACATCGACTGCTGCAGCCCTCGGGCGGCGGGGAGAGCACTGGGGATTTCTTTCCAATGCTTGACAATATCCCAAGTGACTTCTGCTGGGGTTAGGAATTGAAAACCGCACGTGTTTCTTCGCAAGTCTGATATCAGCAGAGGCGAGTTGCGCCCTTAGTTGTTGACAACTTTCTCTTTGTGGGACCCAACACAATGAACCACACAGACATTTCAATCCAGCAAAATAACTTTATTTCACAGGGCAAATACAGCCAAGTAGTGATTCCAGAGTTGCCCGGCAAGCGTCAGCTCCATGATCTGTCAGTAAATGTTCTGCTGATGGCTTGAGGATACAGGCTCTATACCTAGCGTTCACATTAATTGATTTCTTAGGTGTAGATTTCAAGTGAAATACATTCAGACTTGCTCCTGTCAGAGCACTGCTCACAAGTGTGTGGTTGAAAGTCACTGAGGAGTTAGTTACAGTTACCTGATTCATACGAAAAGAAAGCAACGCTGCTGCGACCCACAACCCCCTCCCTCTCCGTAGTGCTGCTGCTCGGAGCCTGTTCAGCACACGGCAGGATAATATCCCGTCGTCCTTCAGGCCTTCACAGTAAAAACACTGACTAGAACATACAGCAGCAAACGTGAAGGCAGCATTTAACTGCATGTTCCCAGCACATTTCCCCTGTGCCACTCTCAGAGCGATTAACAACTGGCCCTCCCGCTCGTACCGGTACGAAGTGGTATGGCACACGTCCGCCACCCTTCACCAGAGGGACTTGGGCGTGACACAGATATTTGTGGTTAGTGCTGGCAGCTGAATGCCCCGTACCCTGTCTGGAGAAGGACGAAAGCTTGCTTAATTTCAACTAGACGTTGCTTTGGTTTTTTAAAATATTTAATAAATAAATATGGCTGCTGTCAGTACGAATGGGATGCAGCTCTCAGCCAGCAAGGTCAGACTCTTCTGAGCGCTAGCCTGGCTCTCCCGTGCTGCTTGCCTGGCCATCCACGTTGGGGAGATTCCTGCGCTTTCTGATCTGCATATCTTCATCCTGAAGGAGAAAAAAAGCAAGCAAGCACAAATTAATTCTTCAGCATCCTGTCTGAGCTGGATAAAATCTTTCCTCTTCCCCTCCACCTCTTCTTTGTCCACCAACCATTACCCACTGGGGATCAGCCCAGCAAACAAAATCTTTACCCCATCACTCCAGCTCCTCACTCAAAACACCAAAGCCACCTTCCACCCTCAGGTGGGCACCTTCCCAAACCATTCACATGCTCCCACAGCAAAACCGTTTATGTCCAACAGGCAGCTTCACCTTTTAAACCTGCCGGCCACCCTAGCCGGCGGCAGAGCGGCAGGGATACGACCCTCCCGAGCTTTGCTTCTCAGGCTGTGGGCCATGTCATGTGAAGTCTGGCCTCATAGGGCAGGTTTTCCTCAGGGTGGACCTGATGTCCCGCAGAATCAAACAACTTTGGTTGGAAGGGACCTCTGGAGCGTATAATACCTAACGCTAATGCTAGATCTGGTTCTTCAGGGCATCTCTTTGGTTTTCAAGTATTTGCAAGCATGGAGTTTCCACCTCGAAGTTCGCAAGGATGGAGTTTCCCTGCACAACCCGTTGTGGTTCTCAGCCACACTTACCAGGAAATATTTCCCCCGGTACCCAGTGAGGATTTTCTTTAGTGCAAGTTGTGCCTGTCACCTCTTGTCTTTTCGCTGCACGTCTCTGCTGCTGTCTTCTCTGTAAGCACCTGGCAGGCAGCTGCAGACAGCACTCAGATCCCCTCTTCACCTCCTCTCCTCCGAGCTGGAGGAAGCAGCTCCCTCAGCCTCTCCTCCTGCCGTACGCTCTCCAGCCCTGACCCACCTCACGAGCGAACCCACGGAGCTGCGTGGCCAGGTTTTAACCATGACCAGGTTTTGCCACACACAGCACCGCTGCAGGTGACTGACCTGAACAGGGCGAGCACGCGTCATTTAGTGTCTGTACTACATGAAAAGCAAACTTATTTCTGCACAGTCCTCCTCAGCAAGTCCCCTCCAGGTGCTTCTCTCAGTATCCTTCCTGACACCTCCACCGCACACCCACCGCACACCATTCACACCGCTGTTTCCAGGGTAGTTCGTACCGACTCAGAGTCTTCTTCAACCTGGTTCCTTATGAAATCGATATAATCATCCTTCTGGTTGTCCAGAACTTCTTCCTCGTACTCAGTCTGGTAGTCTGACTCATCTAAAGAGAGAAGAGAGAAAAAAGACTGGTTTTAAGTAGCATTCAGAGAGGCAGAAAAAACGGGGAGCAGAATGACAGTTGCCTCCATTGAGCCCTGGCGCAGGGCAGGATGAGTGCTGGCCAACTCCCTGCAGCTCAGTGAACTGGGACTACTGCAACACCAATATCGGCTCTCCAGCCAGATCACAAAATAAACCGTGCCCTCTATGTGAACTGGTGTCCTGGAGCCCTCCGGAATCTAAAGAGCTTATAGCAAGAGCAGCAAACTGTCCGCGTTATTCTGGTGGGTGCCAGAACACAAACACTGGCAACGTGGAGATGCTCCCTGGTGAATGCTCTTCACAGAACGGTCGCTGTCTCCCACCTGTCAGTCCAGGCAGGACCCGTGGAAAACCATCAGAAGACGTCCCTATGAGCTACCAATCCAAACTCCCCTGGACACATTGGTCACAGACTCACTGGAAACGGGGACTTCCAGGCACAGGGTGAGCTCTTCCTGGTGCGGAGATCGTAATTATGTGTCTCACAATCTCCGCTCCACAAGAGACAGTGACGTTTACCCTCCCCTCCTCTCCACAGGGACAATCACCTGCTCTCTCTGGTAATCCAGCAGATGAACACAATTTAGGGAAGCTCAAGAGCTGTGCACACTGAGGCACAGCAGTCAGCAGCAGGACATGTCACCAAGCCCCCAGTCCCCAGCACCGAAGGCTGCTCCCAAGGAATCACAGAACGGTTTGGGTTGGAAGGGACCTTAAAGATCACCTCACTCCAACCCCCCTGCCATGGGCAGGGACACCTTCCACCAGACCAGGTTGCTCACAGCCCCATCCAACCTGGCCTTCAACACTCCCAGGGATGGGGCAGCCACAGCTTCTCTGGGCAACCTCTGCCACTGCCTCACCACCCTCACCGGGAAGAATTTCTTCCTGATATCTCATCTAAATCTTCCCTCTTCCACTTTAAAGAACAAGATACACCAGTGCAGAGTCAATGCCTCTTCCAGCACCCAGAGATCTCTTTAGGGTCTGTAAAACAGACAGCAGGAGAGTCACCTGCTGACAGGACTGACTCTCTCCCACATCAACTCAACACTCAACGCATGTCCCAGGGCAGACACCACCCCAGGCACCAGCAGCCCCATCCCACCCAGGCATGAAAGCAAGGCACGCAGGCAGCGGAACAAAGCACGTGGCAGATGGGCACCTTCCTTTTGCATATCTTCTGGCACGCAGTTTTTCCAAATGCAAGTTAGGGCATTAAAATGGCAGAAAATCATTTTTGTGTGACACTAGTTCTTCCTCCACTTTCATGAATTAATTCAAGTGTGCTTTGAGTTGCTGAAGCAATACCTGGTTTTCAGCCCACTAGTGAAGAAAGTGGCTTGTGTTTAAACCCGATTCTTGATTAAGTATTTCTTTTGGGAACAGTCAATAGCATCTGCTCCACGCTGAAGACAACAGCACAGTCTGTTCCACAGCATTTTCTTCTAACATGATAACTACAACCAACTGCTAGAACATTAGGATAAAGACATTTGGTATTTTTTTTTATTTTTTTTTTAATTTTATTTTTACTGTGGATCAGAGAATCATTGTTAGTTTATACTAAAAACGCTACTGATAATCTTTGATAAAACACACCAGAGAAACTGGAAACTCAACTGAACAGCAACAGACAACACAAACAATAATTTGAAGTTTACAGCTCAAATAAAACTGACTGCCATCAAAACCAAACTCCTTGATTTTCCAAGCACTGTTTGGCACTTAACAGGTCTTTATACAGATACAAAAACCAAAGAGAGAGGTGTCCCTTCTCACATCCCTCACACAGCAACTCTGGGTGCTGGAGGACTCGAGGGGAACAGAGAACAGAAGGTGGTCCTGCTGTCCCTAAACATCATCCTCCATTGCCCTGCTCAACACCGAGCGTCTGGGGCTCAAGGGGCAACCGCTCCTTTACACTACAAAAAGTCCCAAAAGCATCAAGCAGGACGGCAGCCTCGTTGCCCTGCTCAACAGACCAACACCCAACCACCGCAGCTCCACAATGAGCCGGTGAAGAGGAGGTTACGGCACAGAAAGGTACCCGAGCCCGTTAGCAGGGGGAGCGTGTTCACCGCAGGAAGGGCACACTTCTCATGCCAAAGATCTGCTTGGTGATTCTGTAGCTTTTAGCTTTTCTTTTATATATGTCTGACTTCTGCAGGCAACCCCACATTTGAAGAAAATTGGTGCTGGGTGGCTGGAGGATTTATGTTTCAGTAACACTGACAGGCTTTCGACGTAAATCAGGGAATCTGGAAGCTCATCACAACCTAAGGTGCAGTAGTGCTTCTTGATAAAAGTACTTTTTAAGCAGCAAAGATGCAGAGGGTGACCTAGTGCCCAATAACTGTGTCCCTTGAGAGGTTTTGGGATGTCTCCTGCTTCAGCTGTATTACAAAACCAGGCATTTGATACCACGATTAACATTTCTCTTTCCCAAATCTTTTTATCTAAATGACTGCTGCTATAATTGCTCTGCTACGCGACTGGATCTCCCTCAGCCATTGCGTGCAGCAAGCCTCACCTCACTCCGTGCGACCTGGCCGTGGGGACAGCCCGAAGCATCGCGGCTTTGAAAAATGAGAAGTGAAACCTGCTGTGGGAAATCACCGAAGAGCCTGTGCAACTTTGGTCCTCAGAAATCCCTTACAGGTGGGAGTGTGACCACAGATGCGACTGAGCCTCCCTCGGAGGATAGCATCTGTACTCCCCTGGCCACGGCCATGGCTGCGTAAAATGCAACTACAGCTGAACAAAGACAGAAAATCCCAACTGAGGGAGCATTTGGATGCAGAACAGAAACACGGCCACAACGACTGCAGCGGCTCAGCTGTGAAAACAAGCTTCTGTTCTCCTACAGACACCTCCTCACCTGCTCACCGGCAGCACAGGTACCCTGGGTCCAGCACAGGGCTTGGCCTGGCTTCCCGCCACTCACCCCTTCCTGCGGGCCAGAGTACCCCCCCCCCTTTTTTTTTTTTTTTAAATGGTTTCAATCATTGCTCTCAGTTTGCTCAAGAGTGGAGAAGAAACTTCACTGCCCTTTCCCCCCAAGGAAGATACGGTTTCTGACCCGGGGGCTCTGCCAGCCTCTGCCCATCAGGGCCTTTCACCCTTGGTACTGACCCTTCCCCTTTCTGGGCTTCCCACTCAATCAGAACACCATCATCTGCGTTTTCTTTCTTTAGAAGAAAATTATTGAGATAATTTCTCCACCCAGCCTGACACTTGCGGTATGCTATCAGGACAGGCAGAGCCTTTCTAAATCCCTGTGGTCCGAAGTCTCACTCGAGAAGGAATTTCCAAGGAGTAAAAAGGTTTCACTCCCTTTGACAGTGCCGTTTCACAGCCAGGCTACCAAGAAGCACCCTGTCTTCTTACTTACGTGGCACAAAAGCAGCCAGATCGTCTTCACCACCATCACAAGCAGACAAACGCAAAGGCTCACCAGCCTCAAGTATGAGGAACCTTGGCATCCGCAAGGCCACTGCCGGGGAGGTGTCACCCTCCATCTGAGCTCCCCTTGGTACAGACCGCTTCCCCCATAGCTCCAGATACCTCTTTAGCAAAAGCGATGCCATCCCGGAGGCACCGAGGCAATGTGCTGTTCAGAGGAATGCCACTACAGCCACTGCCCACCCAAATCCGGGCAAGGTCCCTGCAGGCAGCACATGGAGTCACCCACACCATGAATATAAAGGGTCCTTCAAGACACGGCACCCACACGCGTGACTCTCTCCTGCCATCCTCCCACCTCCTCTGGAATCTCTACAACCAACAGATTTCAGCATCCATGCGGAGTACATGGCACCTGCCCACCCCCTCCCCAGGTAGCCCCTGCACCCTGGGCCCTCCTTAGCCCCAAATCTGCCACATCTACGTTCTGAAAGACGTGTCCCTTTGTCACATTCGTGTTCACGGCCTCGCCCAGCAGAAAGCAGGTCTTCTTAATGGGGGCGAATGAGCAGAAACTATATAAAGGAGGAAGATCTGTCCCAGTACACTGGTTAAAACTTAGCAGGTCTCAATGCCTATGCCTGAAATAACCGTGTTACATGAACTCTTCCTTCTTATTCACAATGGCTGTTTCAACCACATTTGATTAATATTTTCTTCATAAGGCATATGATTGCAATTAGCATTTCAAATTACCATAGGGACATCTCTACAAACAGTCACAGATGGGAGGACTGCTAACTTTAGATTTCCCTCTGCAAGAACAAGGATCGGGAGGAGGGGAGAGACTGTTTATAAAGTGCTCTAGCACTGGTGACACACTCGGAGATTTCAGGCCTGCAAAGCTCTGATCCTTTTTGTTAAGTGAGCTTCGGTTACGGCACGCACCGGGAACTGCTCCGCAGGGCATGCCTGAGGCACAAGGCGCTCGAGTGCCTTCATGTAAAGATGCAGGAGTCGCTACCTATTCCTCATTAGTTCACAGGTGCTCCCTAGAACGGGAACGTACAAAATGCAATGTAGCCAGTGAGTCACTCCAGATCCTACTCACGACAGCCGGGAAAAAAATCCTTCAGTCAAAGCTCTAAATCAGCCTCCTCCCATCTCAAAGGGACATGGACCAAAGAGCGAAGCCATCACAGGGGCACAGGCCAGCACAAGGGGGATGAAATCTCGTCTTTGCAGGAGTTGCCACACGTGTTATTTCACTCAGCTCAGGCTAACTTGAGGGGGGATTACTCCCACCATGAAACCTTGCTGGACCACACCGGTAACGGGCTGACAGCGGATGTCTTGCCGTGGCAAGAACATCTGACTCCCAGCCTCTCTCGGAGGAGGATGCCGATGGTCTGACCTGGAGGCAGAGGCTCTGGATGAAGCAGGCAGACAGCTCACCGCTGCCGGCTTTGCTCAGCAGGCACCGGAGCTGGCAGCCAGCCCTGACCCCTCCCAGCTCAGAGCATGGGGTGTTACAAGAAAGCAGGCAGAGCAGGCAGGCAGGAGGAGCGAGCAGCCGTCCCTGCTTCGCTGCCCTTCCCAACGCTTCCGCAGCGCCGGCCGGATCGCCCCACTCACCGTCTGCCACGGGTGCCTTCACGGGCTCGATCCTGGACACGATTTCTGCCAGGTCCGTAAAAGAGGTGGTGGGACAGGTCACATTCTGAAACACAGTGATAAGTTTTAGGTATGTTAACAAATCTACACAAAAAATCCACACAAGTCAAGACTGTATAAAAATGATATTGAACAGACAAAGCTCCAGACACACAAATTCTCCACAACTGCCCCCTCAAAAGCCGTTACTTATGACTGAGTAATTCTCAAAGCAACTCTCCTGATGCAGGTCTGGTGGCAGAGACGGGATTCCCAAGTGCAAACTGTGTGACAACCTCTAACGGCTCCTTCTCTATCCATGCAACAAGAAGCCTTATTAAAAATTTAGCAAACTATAGAAAAGACCACAAAGAGAAGAACCAGAGGGTCTGGACTCCGTGACAGACAGCGCTGACTTTACTTGGTTGTTCTCCATCACTGTTCCTTCATAAGAGGGACCGGCTGGGCCAGGTGCAGCCCCCAGGGAGCTTTTGCCTTCCCTTGGGAGAAGGAGAAAGGGCCCAGTGCCCAGGTGGGACACAGCACGTGGTCCAGCCCTGGGTCTGCAGAGTGATGCCATGGGGGGCTGTATGGACAGGAGGGCAGCAGCCGAGGCACTGGGGTGACCAGGACCCCCCCGGGGACCCCAGCAAGCCGTGGAGCTGGAGGTGCTGCAGCAAGCAAGAGCCGGAGGTAGGTGGTCCACCCGCAAGGAGAAATATTTCCCTCTTTCAATAAACCCTTCCTATTTTCACTCTGTCTCACCCAAGCAGTGGGTTGAGTGTTCTCTATTTTGAGAAGTTGCCTGCTCCAGTTTCTCCTCTAATAAAACCCAATTTTGACATTTAAGAACCGTTTTGGTCTTCCCGCATGCCATGCTGTGAGCAGCCCTACCTACCTCCTCTGGGCCAGGCACAAGGTCACCAGATGGAAACCTGAACACCTCTCACCTTTTTTTTTTTAAAAAAACCCAGTGATTTTAATTAGTACGATAGCAACCTCCACCCCAGAGGAGTGAGACGGGGAAGGGCTGGCAGGGGGCACGTTATTGACACAGGACTGCCGGGAACTGCTGTGACAGTCCTCTTTCTAAATGCCCAGACCTGCCCACGTGCTTCCAGACAGGGCAGTTGCCTAACACAGAGTTTTTATGAGCAATTCTTTGCTCTTCTGGCAAGAGCACCGATACTATGAATCATACAACCCCAGTGGGGGTCACAGCAGAAGCCCATTACAGCTGCAGAAGATTGCTCCCCGTTGACCTTTAATCCGTAGCTAACTTTTGATGTAATTTAGTACAGCTACAGCAAGGTGCAGATCCAGGACAAACAGCTAGTGGGGAGCGGTGGACAGAGAAAAGTCCAGAAGGAATTAAAAAATACCTGTATGAAATGAAACAGCAGTAGCTTAGGACACACACTTTAAAATATAAAGAAGCCAGGAAGCTCAGCAGCTCAGTGTGACCATTAAGGAACCGTTAAGAAGGGCAAATCAGTCCAGTCTCATTTTGAGCATCCAACCTGAACAGTCCCAGTGAAGCGTTTGCAGAAGGTTGATGTCCAGGACAGGGGAAAAAAAAAAAAAAAAGTATCTATATCTTCATTGTGTGCCATATGACTAAGCAAGGGCTATGTACAAACTCTGGTCACCAAGTAGACACAGCAACGTCCGAGGCAATTGCCTGTACCCTAAAAAAGGTGGACTCTTAGCAAGCAGACAACGCGGTTGCACAGAGCACTCAGGCAGACACGTGCCGGGCTGTCCTTGGGAGCAGGGAACAGACAGGGACCAGCTTTGGAGGGGACAAAAGTCCAGGGCACTGTGCGAACAGCTGAACAAAATCCTGCAGTGACCGTCACCAAAAGGTGCTTCGGGAAAACCAGCGTCAGCTCACGTGCTCCCGCAGACGAGGTGTGAGGAGAGATGAGTATGAAGGCAATCGTAAATGTGACCGTACCCACGGGAGCTTCTGTTACGGTCGCTGACGTACAGACAATCCCACGTGTAAGCCCGTCAGAGGATGCTTGGGGAGGCAGCTGCACCCCAAAGCTTTAGCACTAAAACTGGAACTCCACTTGTGGGAAACCAGGTGTTTTCCCATGCTCATCTGACCCTTTGCAAACAGGAATTTAATGTTGAAGCACTTCCTCTTACTACTTTTAAGGACAAAACCACACTCCCATCAGTTAACACAAGGCAAAGAAGTGTCCCAGATTAATTTGAAACCCACTCTAAAACCTTTGTGCTGGTATTTTTTTTTTTCCAAGGAGTAAAGTATTCTCTTCAGCATAGTCTTTATTAAATAAATTAGAGGAGAAAGACAGTTACTATTGTAGTCTGCTAGATTATATTTAGCTTTGACTATGAATAACACTTCAGTAGACAAAACTTCCCTGAGGAGATCCAATTAAAGGTACTGCGTTATTCTCTGCTGGGGAAGAGTAAGGGTTGTTCACGTGAAGTTTATGTAAGGTTCCTGTTGTTTGTGTCTTCAGTATTTGCATTTTTGAGACAAGATAAACAGTGATTGAATGATGAAAGCAAAGGAAAAGTATCTAAATGATTAAAATATCCTGAGTTTTTAAGTAAAAATTCAATGCTTACGACATGGAAACAAGATGATAAGAAACTACGCTCAGCTCTCTCAGATGTCGAACACTCCAGAAATAGCTGAAGAACTCAAACATACAAAGCATCAAAACCTTCACTAATGAAAGGCAAGTTAAAAATATCAGCTGTTATCCTTGGAAGATAGCAGAACTAAAGGACTTAAGTGAATCTAATGGACTAAGAAAAAAAAAGACAAACACCCCAGTGGGAGCCTGCAATGCTTGTTATTTTGTAGAAATAAATCTACTGAAACAGAAGTCAGATGAAAAAAAAATCTTGGTTTTTACTGGACTCCAGAGTTTTCAGAGGAAAAGCAGAAGATCTCCTAGGTCGTGGGAGTACAGCCCGGAGCCGAGCCTTAGCGTCAGGTTGGGGGAACGCACAAAGCTGACGGTTCCCGCTCCATAACCCAGGCAGTTTGTTGGGTCACTCTCCCGAACTCATTCTTTTCACGCTCTTGGCATCTGAGCAATCGGCACTTTCTGCCTTGTTATCCAGTGTGTACACAGAAACGCAATGACAGGCTATGTCTACAAAGAGTATGTGACATATTTGATTTCCAGGGCAGTCGAAGGGCCATAAAACCCAGGGTAGATTGTGATAAATGTTCAACATGCTGCTTGATGCACAGCTGTAATATCATGATTTCATGGAAATATTAGCCTGACCTACTGTATCCCATATAAAGGGCAATTTTAAAATAAGTCTTCTTTAAAAGAAGCATTTGTTACAGCAATGAATGCGTTTGAGCTTGTTACTAGTTGGTGATAAAAGTTGAAATAGGACACCTAACCATTTCTGAGACACACACAATTTTCTCTCCCTTGACTTCTCCTTATGGCTATTAATACACAAAACCAAACTTACAACTACTCTGAACAGAAGGTTTCAGAGACAGAACGGGCACCCATCTTCCGCAGCTCAGAGTAATCTCTTTCCTACTGCAGGTCATCTTCCCAGTAAGAAATAACAAGCTGGTGAGTTCTGGGGCTCCTCAGCCTACTCAGATCACCAGCTCGTTTCCCACAAAGCTCAGTCCCTTTGTGCTCCTCCCAAAGCCACTCACCCTGCCCGACAGCTTGGGTGGCATTCATCTGAGGCTGGGAAGTCAGCGCTGAGAGTCCCCTTGGCTCCCTCCACGCGGCCGGAGCCGAGGTGCCATTCATCTTATCCCAAAGGAGCCATTTCCATGTCATCGGGTGACTCACACCCGACAGAGCTCACCTCTCTCCGGTGACAAATGGGGGTCTTGGGCAACCAGCTCAGCTGTGGGCGTCATCCACCCCTCGTCGCTGGGCTAATGTCCACCCCTGCAAGCACTGCCCTTCCTCTCCCCTTGCTCACGCCGTCTCACTCCTAGCAAAAGTGCTTGGCCACCAATCTCTGGAAGAGCTGCAAATCCTCAATGTCATTTTTCACCTCTATTGACTTTCCCTAGTGAGGCTCACTACAGTTATGATACATTTTGGCAATCACTTAAAATATTACTGCTCATTTCCCTATCTCTAAAAGATGTCAAAGATGAATTACCGGGTAAAACATGAAGCCTTTGTAGCACTTGGGTTTTAAATCAGAGGAATTCAAAGGAGGGTAAGGATAACAAGCCAATATATTATAATATTGTACCCAAGTCCTCAAAAAGGTGGTAACTGTTTCTTAAAAACAACTGAAACTTCCCCGCCAAGAAACTCAGTCAGCCCACTGAGTTATGAACCAACTCTGGAGGCTGATCTCAATCCTTAAATTGTAAAACCAAGAGATTTTTATCCTGCTTTTGAGTAGGTATCTTTAATGGGACTATAACCACACAGCAACCCTATGTAGCCTGTAGCTGTACCATAACCAGGCATTTACCATTAACTGCTCGCAGGCGCTGAAGTGGGCAGAACAAGGTGTGTGAAACCCAGCACCTCAACAGCACTGCAAGCTTCTGCGGAGCCTTAACGATGGCTCTACAAAATGCCTTTTCTAATAAAGGAGTAAGGAAGAAAAGCAACAGAGCAGGAAGTCTACATCCTTGCAGGGATTTTAACTCTTGGCTAAAAACACATCTCCAGCAAGGGTTTAAATTGAGTTTTCTGGAAGCATCTGAGAACTCTTTGAGTCACATCCTGAAAGCCAGCAATGGCTGAGATCAATGCCAGCGCTCCCGATTCACATCCTCTGTGACGAGCACCGGGCAGCTGGTGGGAGAGCGCCGCTGCCCCGGCAGACCAGTTTCTAGTAGTAAGAACAATATCCAGGTACCACCTAGAGTTTCTGGCACAAGAATAAATGAAAAATCATTCTTAAAAGGTTACTCGTGCCTACTCAGCATTACTCAGGGAAGCAGCCCACAGGCGCATTCAAGCGATGGGTCCAAATGTAGCCCATCACCTGGAACCACAGACCATCCTCTCTCACAGGACCTGCAGGGCACAGTCACAGCCTCTGCGCCAGCGCTCGGTGCAGGAGGCAGCTCAGCCGGCAGCACTTAGTGCCCTAAAGACTGCTGACGCACACGGTGAAGGAAGAGACGTGAAGGTGGGCATGTAAACCTGTACGCATCAGCTCTGCCTCTTAGACCATGCTGGGTACTGGTGAGCATCCTGCCTTCCTTCGAGGACATTTGTGTTGTGAACACTTCCAGGTTACAAACACGGTATCAAGAACCTGTTAGAACGAAACTGCAACAGGAGAGCTGCCCTACAGAGTGCTACGTCAGTCCTGGGGGTTTCAGAGACCCCCATCGTACTTCCTGAGGATACAGACGGATCTCTGCATGGGCACGCGTCAGGTATCAGGGACGGACAGGCAGACATCGGGGCGTGGGCTCTGGCAGAGCACGCTTTGGCCATGCTTGGACCTGGTGATCAGAGAAGCGCAGGACCTCATTCCTCCAGGCTATGGTTCAAGGAGAGAAGTTTCTGAAAAACTGATCATACCTTTTCTTGCCTAAAATACAGTTTTAACTAATACATGCATGCTCACAATAAGGATTTGAGGCAATCAATCATTCTCTTTCGTATCCCTGAGCAGTTTTAGGGCAGTACGCAATCTGCCGTGCATCATGTGGCTCTTGCAGAAGAGTGCATTTAAACCGAACCCTTACCTCAGTTTTGGATTTGCCAGTCTCTTGCCTGTCTCTCAGCATCTTGTCAAGGACTCCACTCCTGCACCAGACATTAAATACGGTTTTCCCATGCTGATATCCCACTTCCTGGAAAAAAAAAAAGAGTCAGAGGAAAAAAGTAATTAATAACTAAAAAACCATTATGTCACATCATCTGCAAATGAGTAGGAAATCAAAGCCAGGATGTACTTTCGGTACCTTCCAGCCTCAGCTACGTAAGCTGTTCAGCCTAAGAATCAGGGGAACAATTAAGCAAACGAGGTGCTATTTGAAGTCCAAATGCTAACTTGACCTCTGACCCCACCCTATGCAATGAAAAGTGCCACCTGACACAACTATTTTTACAGCAGTGGCTTCACGCAGGCTGCTCACAGAACAACGCCGTATAAAGAAAAGCTCAGGACGCAGATGTATATGTCCCTCCAGTACTGGGTCTTTCTTTGGAAGAAGGTAACAACGCAAAATAATTTGTGTCTTCTCCCCTCTTGGGTCAAGAAAAGCCAAGAAAAGAAAACTTCTCTAGCAAAGCAAAGTTACCGTAGGGCCTCGGTTCCAAAATCACTTGCAATAAGTTAAGGCACGCAGCTCTGAACACACAAGTGTCAGTTTGCTGGGGTGGAAACGATGGCACATCGACACCACCAAACCCACCAACTCCATGTTCCTCTCGTTTAAAAGTATAAAGTAATCTGCGCTTGGGATAATAACATGGCACTGCGTCATTAGTATGGAAACAACTGGAAAAAAATAAACTGGTGGAGTCAAGTTTTACTCTTTTTCTAACAAGACAGTAGAAATGGTGTTGAAAAAGCAAATCGAAAGGGCAGAGCAACAGGTGTCTGGGCTTCTGGGTCCTATTTCCAGCTCTCGCACTAAACCTCAGGCTTGCGTGGCAACTCCGAGCGCTGGAAGCAGCCCTGGCTGAGCTGGGATTGTCTCTCCTCTGGTTTTTAGACGAGGGTTCAAAGCACGGGAAGCACTCAGGCTGGAATTCACCTCTCGTAATCTATCACAGCTTCTCAGCCCAGGGTGGATGTGATTACTGAGGAGGAAAAGGGACCTGACAGACCTACAACTGCCTGGGTCACACTGATCCAAAATAATGGTGAGAACCTGAGCTCTGGGCAACGACATGCAGCCGACATCGCTTTAGGCTGATACAGAGGAGGGGGGGTGGCGAGACAAGGGGATTTTTGTTCTTTTGAACACGCTGAATGGTTATATGGTGCCCATTGCTGTTTTCTGTAAAATCCAGGTACATAGCTGAAATTAAAACCCCTGCTACCTCAGAGCCTGTAACGATAAAGGAATGCCTAGATTGCCCTTGCCTTTAAGGTCAGCACAGTTTAAAGCTTCCCCGCGGACAGAAGTTATTTAGCTACGCTGCAGGGCATGAGAACCCAGGAGGGTGCTGCCCCTCCATACGTGCAGTGTCTCGTGCCAAGAACTCGCTCACAGAAAGTGACATCTTTGAGAAACTGCACTTTTCTGAAGTTTTAATCCACTGAGAAGAATTCGCCTGGTGTCTTTAAATCTCTTTAACGACACCGAATTAGAGACAGAACAATGATTTGACAGTTTACTATCTGTTACTGTGATGAACTACCAGACCTTTTTGTCAAGGTTTTCAAAACAGCCAGGGCACTCCATCTAGCAAAGAATATTATTTATCAGCAAAGTCTTAGATCCACCCTTGGCAGACAGCACTGTTTGCCCAGGAGCTATGAAACACCAAATATCCTTGAGAAAACATTTATCCTGGGGAAATCAGCTGGTGGTTTGGAATAGCTGCTGTTTGGTCCTAAGGACTCTCTCGAATGTGAATCTGCAGGGCGTAACTGTATTACTGGTTTTGTTTAGTATTCGTAAGACGGTATCAGAGAAATCAGTCTGCAGTCTAATGAGTATCACAGGTTCTCGCTACATCTATAAAAGAGATTGGCTTAAAGAAAAATTGGTGGTGGTGGGAGGTCCAGCCAAGGAGAAGAGCAAAGCCATGCAGAAACACCTGAAGATGGAAGATGCTAGCACGGCTGAAGCAGGCAAAGGATGGAAGGACAGTAAAGTAACTTCCTTGGCAGAGACAATGAGCCAGAATTGCTATCGTTACCTCAACCTGGGCAGAGACTTTTTGGTTGTGACGCTGAATTATGTCACTCAGACAATTCAACTGCACCTCTGGAGTCAGTTCTTCCCATGCTGGTTTCTGATACATAAACAAAACTAAAGCCCAGAGACGTGTAACCTGGCACTGCCCGTTTTTCAATGTCCTTCCACTGACATTGGTGCCATTTTCCTGATACTCTATCAGGTGCAGAGGAACCGTGGATGATATTTTTTATTAACAGAAGTGTTGAAATGTTAACCGAGCCAGATATTTTAGCATGTTGCCCTCCATTTCAGTGATTCATGGCCTCCCCTACAGACTTCTTGAAATCTTTCACGCTACAACAAGCTACATAATGAAGGGAAAGAAATGACACCATTTGACAAACCCCAACTGCCCAAAGCAGCTCAGACACCCAAGAGTTTTTACCAAGCAGCTGAGCAAGAATTGCCGTGAAACAGAGCGAGGCAACCGATCCGTTCACAGGTCATTATACAATCAAGATTACTAACGCGATTTCTGCTGTTAATCCAATCTCACAGCCATGATATCATTCCACAGCATTATTTAGCGGCAGTTATTCACTCTGTGCCAACTGCCTTCCCTTACTCTCCGACAGCTTAGGCACTAATTAGCACCACAAACCAGCAGATTCCTGTGGAACAGCAATAAGGGGGAACTGCCTTCCCCGGGATGAACTTACACAGATTTCATCAAATTTCCCAAAGTCCAGGGTACCGTATCGGTCAATGGGCGGCCGGATATACTCGCAGTAATCGCTGTTCTTCACCATCTCCAGCTGCCGCACACAGCACACGTACGCAAGCCGCGTCTGGATCTCTGCCATATTCAGCACCTGCCAGCCAGGCCAGACACACCAATCGTGATTAATTCAGAAATTTAATTTCAGAATATGTTCTGTATTCACAATGGGGAAAAAGAAAGTTATCTTTTTTTTTTTCTTTTTTTTTCCCCAGGAGCACACCGAACCCTGCTGAAGCCTTCACACATCAGCACCTCCATCTGCTTCCCAGGCAGTGTGGACAGGCAGCCAATGAGTCTGCACAATCAACAGCAGAAAGCGAAGTGCCTTCAAACACAGTTCTGCAGTTCAAGGTTGAACAGAGTCTTTCATTCCAGGGTACAGTGGTACCTTAAGAGACAGATCTGTGCTGAAGTGAGAGGACCACAGTGATCCTTCAAGGCAGAAACCAGTGATGATCTTCATAGTACCAGGGCAGAGATTTCACAGAATGGTTGAGGTTGACAGGGACCTCTCGAGATCATCAGGGACCTCTCAAGATTATCTAGTCCAACTCTCCTGACCCAAGCAGGGTCAGCTGGGGCAGGCTGTCCAAGACCATGTCCAGCTGAGTTTTGAGTATCTCCACAGATGGAGATTCTACAACCTCTTTGGTTGGCCAGCATTTCACCACCCCCAGTTTAAAAAAAAAAGAAAAAAAAAAAAAAAAAAAAGAGTGTTTTCTAGTCTTCAGAAGGAATCCTCTGTTTTCATGTGTGCCTGCTGCCACTTGGGCAGTTGTAATATTTCACTGGGCACTACTCAGAAGAGTCAGGGTCTTCCACTTACCCCCACCAAACACTCCCACTACGTGCTGGGAGCAGCACGGCCAGCTCTGCCAAGGCACAGCAGGGCACTCCACAGCTGCACCAACTCCAAAAGGCCACTTCCCACGGAAGGGAGTTATCACAGAGGAAAACTTTAGATTACAGAGCAGTACACACAGTTTGTATTTTTCCCCAACTGTAGGAAGCATAAACAAATATTTTACTTCCAATTCCAACAGGGGAATGTGTTAATTGTAGTTGGGAGGGAAGAAGAAAAACCAGCATTCACTTGAAGGACAGCTGCAGAGCCAGGCAACTTAGGAAATGCAGAAGAATAAGCAACAGAGAACTCTGCAGCCCCACATTTATCAGTAGTAGTAATGTTAATTACTTCTTAGTGCTAAAATCTCCCTAAATCAACAGTTCAGAGACATAAAGGATAGAAACAGTGATTTGGACAAAGTTACTACTTTTATTAGCAAAATTCATAAATTCTCACTTTATCAAAGCTTACTGCATCTCTAAGAAAAGGTTTCTCCACTCTAACAATCCTACCATCCCCTTCCCAGACCAGGGCTCTACCCTCTCCCCTGTCACTGCCCTTCCTTTGGTGTCAGGGCACTGCCCAGCTCTCTTCGTCCACAAGTAAGAGCTCAAACCCAAGACAGATGATGGTCTGTCACTAGGCTTGCTCCCTGAATGAACCAGGGCAAGGTTCCTGCTCTGTACATAAAAACAGCTGCCATTTTAATATAGTCTACAATACCTTGACTTTCTCGGCCAGTGGATTCCACCTCTTCCAGAGCAGCCACCAGCCAGACAAGCAGTCGCCGTAGTTGGTGAGATCGGTCTCATCCCGGCTCCCCACATCGATCGCGATCACCACCTTTGCGCCCATGGACCTCGCAACATCAGCTAGTGGGAAAGGAGGCTGTATCAGTACCAGTGCCGCCAACCCTGGTGCTGCTCAGCCAAAGCTTACGTACAGCCCGCTAGGGAGCACATAACCTGACATCGTACCTACCAGGAGCGTCTCAGAACAGCCTCAGATATAAACATTTGCAGCAACAATGCCAAGAGACCATTCCCCCCTCGGGGAGGCCCCTACCCTACCTGCTCCATTTTAACAGAGAGATCAGGTTTGAGACTGCCTAAGGAACCTGAAGGTGCACAAGTCTATGGGACCTGATGAGATGCATCCGCGGGTCCCAAGGGAACTGGTGGATGAATGGCTAAGCCACTGTCCGTCATATTTGAGAAGTCGTGGCAGTCCGGTGAAGTTCCCGCTGACTGGAAAAGGGGAAACATAACCTCCATTTTTAAAAAGGGAAAATAGGAAGACCTAGAAAATTACAGGCCAGTCTGTCTCACCTCTGTGCCCAGCAAGATCATGGAGCAGATCCTCCTGGAAACAATGCTAAGGCACATGGAAAATAAGGAGGTGATTGGTGACAGCCAGCATGGCTTCACTAAGAGCAAATCATGCCCGACAAATTTGGTGGCTTTCTATGACAGGGTTACAGTGTTGGTGGATAAGGGAAGAGCATCTGATGTCATCTACCTGGACTTGTGCAAAGCATTTGACACTGTCCTGCATGACATCCTTGTCTCTAAACTGGCGAGACATGGATTTGAGGGATGGACCACTCAGCAGATAAGGAATTGGCTGGATGGTTGCACTCAAAGAGTTGTGGTCAATGGCTCAATGCCCAAGTGGAGACCGGTGACGTGTGGCGTTCCTCAGAGGTCGGGATCGAGACCGGTGCTGTTTGACATCTTTGTCAGTGACATGGGTAGTGGGATGGAGTGTACCCTCAGCAAGCTGGCCAACGAGACTAAGCTAAGGGGTGCAGTTGACACGCTGGAGGGAAGGGCTGCCATCCAGAGGGACCAGGACAGGCTGGAGAGGTGGGCCCGTGCAAACCTCAGGAAGTTCAACAAGGCCACGCTGTCACCAGAACCCATGCGAAGGCAGCAGCAAAAGTGTACGGCAGGGAGCAGGGGAGAGGAGGTGGGACACGCACAGCTCGAGTCCACAGTCACACCACATTTTGTATAACGTGAAAGAGCACATTAAACCCACATTAATTCTACCTCATGCAGCTGTTCTTATGAGAACAAAAGATCTGGGGGACCTGTAGAGAGAACAAGTGGCCTTACAGAGGAGAGTCAGCAGTGCAGGGGTCAACCCTGCAGGTAGAAGGTAATAAAGGAAAGGAGCAGCACAGGAACCAGACAGCAAGGAGAGGCTGGGAGGACTTCAGGGATCCAAGAGAAAGAATCCTATTTGGAAGTGGGAGAGAAATGAGGCAACACTTCCTACTTCAAGGTCAGTAAAAGGATAAGCTGCAGCCTTTGGATATGGGCGAGGATGTAGGGAAGTGCCAAAGGAGGGAAGAGAAGGACACATACCTCACAATGAATTTATATTTCTTCCACACCCCCAGAGTCCAAGATAGTTGCAGTTTCCAGAATAGTTATGCGTAGGAAAAACCACAGCTCTGAAGAGCCAATTTAGGTGCTTAATTTAGACACTTATCTAAATCAGATCTGTTCTGTAACTCGGATTTATATTCCTGGGCTTATTCAGTCTATTGTACCTTTTCCACCCTGTGTCACCTGCATGTGTGCTCTTTGCCCTCTCCAGTACGTGCAGGTGGAAAAGGCGCTTTGGTTTGCAATTCATACTTTTGCTTACAGACACAAACAGAGAATGTCAGATGCAGATTTTGGCCATCTATTTTGTGTTATTTCTACTTCTGGGTTTTAGGCAAATATAGCCTTGATGGAAAAATATAGCCTGGGTTTGGCTGGAATGCGTAAACGACTTAGGTTGCTCAGATGCAGAGTCTCTAACTTAGATTCCTTCCTCTTTATTTGTACACAATTATTGTCACAAACTGCAATGACACCACGTATCTCTCTTCTACCTTGGCCTCCCTCCTGAGCCACCCACCTCCCAGTGCTTTCTGACTACGATGACAACCCCGACATAGACCACATCCCCAACACACGCAAGTGAATTCACACGCCTTGGACCCTTTTGGGTTCAGTCCTCTGAACACCCCAAACTCCACATCACTCTTGTGAACAATTCCACCGCTGCCACGGGCGAGCAGCTAACCAAGACACCGACATCTGCCAGCCGAACCCTTCAGACACCAGTCTGAGCGACGAAGAGTTAATGCTGCTGTTTTCCCAGAATTATTTCTTATTCAACTGATACTTTTTGAAAAGAAACTCAAAGATAGACTATATACTTGCAGTTTAATTTCTGCTCTCTCCTTTCAGTGAGCACTAAAATAAATTCAAAATTAGCTTGGAATTATATGTTCAGAATATGTCTATTAGGAAATACTTTGTAACAAAAAATAATCTTAATAAAGCCATGATAAAGCAAACACCTAGGAAACGGAGAACAATGACTCCTGGTAACCATCATGAGATTAAAGGTGTCTGCAATATTTCTCCTTGTTTCTTTTTTGGGGAAAAAAAAAAAAAGAAAAGAAAAGAAGAGGACAATGTTTTGCAGACTGTTTGATGGGCTGTGCTCTTGGTAACTTCTTCCCAACTGATCTCTGCGCCTACCTGGAAGGTTGTTGATATAGCCTCCATCCATCAAGAGATGCCCATCCTTCGGGTCACAGAGGGGAGGCATATACCCAGAGAGGGACATGCTGGCACGGACATATCTCCACAGAGAGCCTGCAGGAATGAGAGGGAGCGAATGGCAACAGCATTAATTACTGCCACAGAGGCGGGGTAGGCTTTTGCACTCATTAAAATAATCGGGAGATAGAGGCTTTCCTGAGAATACTGTTAGAAAGTTATTAAAGCAGTTTATTATTTTCTATACCATAATCCTGGCTAGGGGAAAAAAAAACAAACGTTATTCAGACATAGTATCAGGCAAAGATCTTAGAAACCGCAGGTTTAAGCCCATGCCTCATATTTATTGCCTACACGGAGATTTCAGCATATGCCTGACTGCGGGGACCACCTTTAGTGCTTTGCTGAGCTTACACTGGTAAGGAAAGGAAAAGGCTTCTCCTGGGGACAAAGGGATAGAAAGAATAAGCAGATTGAAGCGCGGCTAAAGCCATTATGTTCTACAGAGATCCACAAACCCCAGACTTTTAGCAGGAGCTGAACATGAAAAATACACACTGTAGAAGCTCCAAAATTCTGTTTTCCCTGCTTTGTAATAAGCAAACGTTTTCACTTGTAAAACCAGCGCAAGTGCATGGTGGTGATCGTCTCTCTTCTTAGGGCATTTCTGTTAATAGTGCTGTAAGGAAGAAAGTTATAATCTTTTAAGCTGTTAGAAAGTTCAATCAAGTAGAAATTGATTGGATCCGTTTCCTGTAAAACATTCTGCTTTAAGGCTCTTCTTTACTGATTTCTCTCTTAACATTTGCGTCAGCTGAACTGGGAAGACACTGCATTTCCAAAGAGACCAAGAGTCTTCTCCGAGAAACCAATCTTTAAAATATCAAAAATAAATAAGACTTGCAGTGTTAGCTCACTTCTCAATAATTAACTACTTGGTGCTTCACACAGCAACTCTTTCCAGCAAACTGGGAATTGATTTTTTTCTTTTCTTTTTAAAATATATACCAGTTCTGCTTCTAATTATAACCTAAGCACTCCTACTGTTCAGGTCAATATTGGCAGATTTGGGTTTTATTATTAATAGTTTTAGTTGAGTTGCAACTTCCACCCAAGCAGAATGCTGACTTCTTGTGTTACACCCCACGGATGAAACCAAGATGGGAAACTGCAGCAGCCGAGAGCTTCCTTCCTCTCCTTTCAGTGAATTCTGGAGACGACCATCACCATCCTCCAGCTGATTTCTGTCCTTATGTTAAACTTCCGCAGGGAGAAGCAGCCGGATGGAGTGAGTTTCCTGACCTCAACTGGCTTCCCTCGCTGCAGAATGGGAATACAAAACCTCTAAGAAAGGTTATTCCTTTTCCTGCCTGTTTTGAGCTCCCCTGGTTGTCCTTAAAAGCCCCAGTGTCAGTGAAATTGTCCTTGGGGCAGGAATGGATAGTCTTACCCGCCCCAGCTCAGAAGACAAAACTTCAGAGACGTGGCAGCAAAGGCTTCACCTACCCAAGGAAATATCTGGGGCACCTGGCAGGCTTGTACTGTCTTCACTGAAGCCTGAGTCACAGCACCATTACCCCAAATAGACCAAAGCTAAATCAGTGTCCCACAGGGCTGCCACCACCTCCTGACAGCAGGGCGGACAGCTCGGATCTTTCTCCTCTGTTCAGTCAGTAAAGCACATTACAGTTTTCCACCAGAGAAACAGAGGACTGGACACAACTGAGAACCTAACCCAGCCTCTGCCTCAGGCCCAGGAGTCTCTTCATTGGGAAAACGGCTTCATTTATGGGGAATTTGAATCTTAAAATATTTTGGTTGCACTAGGTCTGATTTATGGCTAAAACGCCTGCACTTCACAGGATGTTTTAAGGAAACAAAATGGGTCCATTGACACCATTCAATCTCTAAACAGTGAATTCAGCATCTCATTTAGTTTCTTCCCAACAGCTCTGTTCCTTGTTATCTGTGTACAACCACGGTTTGATGCTCAGCAAATCACAGAAGGGAGAAACAAAAGGAAAGACACATTTAAGGGTGAGGAAAATTCCAGGAACAAGGGGTGACACTGAAGTCTCACATCATTATTTAAGACCTGTTGTCAGAGAAGGCCGCCTGCACACTCACCGTCCGTGTGGACCCTCATTGCTGAGGCAGTGATGTCAGTTGTGATAGCGAAGTAAGGAATCCACAGATCCTGCAACAGAGGAGGTCCCAATTTTACTAAATCTGTACCCTTGCATTTAAACTGAAACCCATGCCTAACACAAACCAAAGCAACAACCTCTGGATCTTAACAGACAGAGCTGCAGACACAAACGCCTGCATGGATGGAGAAAAACCCCTCAGCCCTGTGTTTAAGTTCATAAATTTTGTTTCTTATGCAAACATTTCATTCAGAACCAAGGCAGACAAAAGTCCTTATTTCCTTTTTTAAATAGCAAGAAATACTTGTTCCAGAAGACTGTACAGCATACAGAGCAGCACAGAAACCTCATCACTCAAACCAGAGTTCACCTTCTTTCCGATATCTGTTTTTCTTTCAGATGAAACATGAGGCTCTAATGATAACTCTCACCTAAAGAGATCCTTAGGCTGTTTATTGCTGGAGGACACTGTGAATGGAAGACTCACCTTTCATATATTCAGTTCTTATCTAGGTCGCTAAATACCTGCCGCTTTTGGCCTCCCCTGGAGACATAGCACTAAGGTAGACAGACCTTTGATCTCACCCAATACGGCCATTCTTGCGTTTCACCCAACTGTTCCCACCCAACCACTCAGGGTGGTGTTCATCCACCACCTAGAGCAAGCCTTCCAGCATCGTATTCACCATGGATGAGCACGCAACTACTCGGTTCCCTCCAACCCCGACCTAAGACCGTAACAGGCAGCATCTTCCTTGCCTCAGTTCCTGACACACCACAGCCCAAGGCAAAGAGGGAAGAATGTGAGTCATGGCCTCTTGACTGAACGACAACCAATTCGTACCTCGTGGTGATGAAGCTAGGGGTCATTTCAGCGGGAGATGCACAGCAACGCTGCTGAGACCCAAAGCTGCCTAGAGTCAAAGGGGACAACACACAGCTTTGCAGCATTACCTACAGGAACAAAGGATCCTGCAAAGTAGATCTTCAAGAAGACTCCAGAGGTTGCTTAAGATACTAAATAGCAGTGAGGAGTGTGGTACATAAGGAGGATGATATACAAAAAGAATGGCCGAGCTAAGTGCTTTACAAGTTTATTCAACAGGGCTGGACCAAACCAACAAGCCCTGCTCCTGGCAGGGGAAGTTCTCCTTTTTGTTTCACCCATGTCCGTACTCACATCCCACTAGCTGGAAAAACTGAATGGTAAGGTGACCTCCCAACTGCATAGGAGTTTGGTGGAGAGAGGATAGTTTTGGAAAGTCTCGTGGTGTCCAGTGAAAGGGTAGCCTGCAAAGAGGAAGGAGGAGGACTTGTTTGAATAAATTGAACTTATGCCCAGAGAACAGCAGCTGATAGTTCTCTCTCAGTCAGCAAAGCTGAATCAAGACTGAAGAGGTAAACCTGCTTTCCCAGCCAGCCAGTTTGTTCACGGGACGAGGAGTCTGAGCCTTCTCTAGCTCAGTTTTGATGTGCCTTAGACGCAAGCCAAACAAGGGCTCGGACTCCAGCTATCGGTATGAGCTGAGGAGCATTCCCTCTCCGGTCAGTCGGTATTTCTGGTGTTAGTTTCTGTACTGTTCAATATGAAATTCTGAACCACCAGGAAGGAGTCTTTTTTCCTAGTGAGTTTAATCTTTTAAGCAGCTCTGCAAAGATGGTGGAATTGGGGAGGACTAACAGATGCTGCACAAGTATTACAACCCATCTGGTATAAATGCCATAGGAAGGCGGATGAATAAAGTGTGACTACGAAAGTATTAGGGGTGCCTCTCCATGCTAAAGATATTCTGACGATTGCAGATCTCAGTGTAACAACCACATTTTAAGCAAAAATAGGGGAATGGGGAAAGAAGTCTATCTGACACTTCCTTTCATATTCATGCAAACACATGCACGAAGGAAACTAAACCAAGACCTATCACGCTATAATACAGACTGCATTTCTCAGGTATCGTTCTATTTATTTTGGAGACAGAACTTTATTCAAGTCTGAAACAGGACTTGATCAAAGTCTTTTCTGATTCCTCACACCTGAACCTCCAGCTGAGATGACTTGCAAGAGCATTTTGTGCTTCTGGCATGGGGGATAAAAATTCCAGAGCCTGGTGCTCTCCTGGAAGGATGGGTAATTTCAGAGGAAAATAACAGTATTTCTTGAGAAATCTCTTTCCAGCGCCCTGTCCTGGATTTCGGTGTGTTTTCCTGGAAGAACTTACACAGGCTGATCAATTCTCGTGGAGCCCCTCTGGCTGACAGCTGTAGCAGCAATCACGGGGGTTGCTGGTAACCAGGGCTACCCCACAAACGGCACTGCTGGGAATCGGGAGACGCCTACGTTACAAAGGTTGTTAACAGAGCAAATTTAAGAGAAAATGGAAACCTCCCTTTCAATGTCAGAAATAACAGTTCAACGTAAGTGCTTCTGCTCCCGGGCTGTGACGCAGAAGAGGGATGAGGACACGTGCGAGAAGTGCAGGAGTGCCACCTCACAGCCATGGGTGGTAAAAAGGAGGAGCTGGCCCAGTGCTTCCTAATTTTAAGCTTTTATAGAGACCCAAGGGCCAATACCCACCCCAGCCCCTCGGGTAGGAAGTTCTCAGGTTCTGCTGCGATCACTGGGGATCCTCCCAGGAAGGAGCGGTTGTGGCCAAGCATCCAAACACACCCTATGTTTGTAAGGCTATAATTAACTCTTATTAATAGGTATTTCCAGTTGGAAATCATTGCTACGCACTCCCCTCCAAAAACATTCCAACTACTGAGAGAAGATGGACGTGTGCAGTGTGGACATTTTGAAACAATGCTTTAAGAAAACATTTGTTCAAGGCTTAATGCTTCTTAGTTCAGCTTCTGCTACTTTATAAGTTACCCTTTACACTTAGGCAGCTTTCGATTTCCATCTGTCCAGTGACGTGACTGGTTAAACTGTGCTGATAACACAAATTGCCGTGACGGAGGAACTGCCTCTTCCCTTGCAGAGCTACACAACCTTTCTCCTTATTTATCTGATGGAAGTCTTCCAAGGTGAGGAAACGCTCAGGCACAGACTGAAGGGTTTAGCCTATGACACTCAGCACGCACGCACCAAGATGATGCTGTTGCATGCCTCGGAACTGGATTTCTCTCAGACAAAACCTTCCTGTGACTGCAAGGTTAGAACAGATCATACAATTACAGTTGTTAAAAACTGTAAGGAAGGAATCTACTGTATCTTAAAGGGAAGTACAATACATTGACTGCTGAAATCAAAAGCAGGGATAGATGGAGGAGAGGAAGCTGGGGTCACCTAAGCTCAGAGGAGATTTTCTTCCATTTTGTCACTCACTCCTCAAAGCTCTGCTCAGCACTATCCTGGAGCCTCACACTGCAATGTACCATCCACAATTCACACCAAGTTAACCAAGAGAAGACCGTGCTTCGCGCCGCTGAGAAGGTCTCAGTGCTTTGCATAAGGCAGGTCCTCAGCTATGTCAAAGCAAGTAGAGAGGAGCTGGTTTAGTCATTGCACATTCACATCTTTTCCTATTAGGCACTGCTGACCTTCTTCAAGATCTTCTTCTGGTGTGCCCTAAGGGTCCCTTAGACCTGATTTGCAGGAAAATAATGATAAAACAGCCTCAGCGATTCTACTTCAGTGACACAATTTTAACTTCTGCTCTCAGAAAACGAGATCACTTTGTCAAGCAGAAGTAGCTACAAATAATCTACTCTTTGTGTTTTCTAAATCCACTAAAATGAAAGAATAGGCTCCTTCCTATATTCACATAACCCCACATTCACAGTTTTAACATGTTTTCAGTCATCCCACAGCCCCGTATCTCATATTAGCAAGGAAGAAAGCTATTTCTGCTACAACAGAATACAGTGGCATCATTTATTATACATAAAGTGAACAGGCAACCTACCTCTATCTGCTTATCTTTGAAGATATTGTTGATGGTGTTGTTAAAAGCCGCTCCAGAAAACATAGAGGTTATTGGATACGTCAAGTCTAGAATAGTCTTAAACACTGAGTTCATAACCTAAAAAGAAGAAGGAAAAAAAAAAAAAAAGGCATTTCAAAGGTAAATATATGCAAGAATCCATATTAATGTGTGCAATTTGAGAGACGTCTTGGCAGCATGTCAAGGGGACAGAAATACAACTACAAAAACTACAACCAGTAACTCCTTGTATGGTGCCATAAATTTAAAACAAAAAGCAGCAAACTCTGCAGTGTTTGCAATAAGGCTACGGAAGAACATACATTTGCATTGCTTCCCTTCTACCCATAAATCAAAACGTCCCTCTAAAGCAGCGTGCACGGGTACAGGTTTCTGCCTTAACAAATGCACATGAATGGTAGAGTTTAAATCTTGATTTATTTTTTTTTAAAATAACAAAACCATATTACTAGTTATCTCCGTCTTCATCATCCTTTCCCCAGTGTACGTGCAGTTCACCAGCATGGAAAAGAAATCATAAATCTGTAACATAGGAATCGATATCTTTGTACATCTCTTCTCACTTATGGATCACACCTGATTTTTCTTCCACTCTTCAATCTTTTATCTGCCTCAGTGTAAGCACTTACAAAAAAGTGTATGTGAGTCTCTGGGACTGCAACAAGGTTCGGTCAGTCACACGTTAAAGAGCTTTAAATACACTTTCTATGTAGCAGTGTCCATTATTTTTCATTCCCAAAGTGAGTTATTGTGCTTTTCACCTGCTGCCTGGCAGCCAGCATTCAGATACCACTACAGACCCTCCACGTAACCTAGATAAACCAAATCACTTTTGATTTCTTAAAGCACTATAGGTACCTGTTGCATTACATAACAACAGCAGGCATTGACAAATGCATCTCTTCTAAACACACGTATACTCTAATCAAGCTTTCACAGATTCTTTTTTTTTCCCCTCCATTTCAAGTGCATTACATCTGTGCACTAACCTACAAGATAAAACGATGAAAATACCTAAACTATATGGTATTATGGCCAATGTATTTGTCCCACAACAATGCTATTGGTCTCTAATCCTAATAAATCCTAACAAAATTCAATGCCTAATATATCACATCATACGCAGTTAAAATGCAATAGAAGACCAAAACACCCAATTAACTCATTTGCAATTAAATAAGGTTTCACTGGATGAAATATTTCTATTAGATCAAATATCTTCTCTCTCTATGTGTTCTCCATAATTTAACACACAACTTGACAGACAATAAGACATTGTACCCAGGCAGAGACCTATAGCATGAAACAGCCTCTAAATCTGCAGTCTCTTAAAGGATCCGTCATCAACATCTGCCCTTTGCTTTACTCTGGCAATGATTTAAAGAAGAGCAGGATTAGCCTGTATTGTCGTGTCCAGCTGCTTTTAAATATATATTAGGTATCTGTCCAGAGAATGTATGTCCAAGTGTAAAAAAAAAAGAAAAAAAAGATGCTTAAAAATATATACATAAACAGGAAATGTGGGAGAATGTAAAAGCCTTAGCGTAAAACCCATTATGAACCTGTCACCTTCATTCACATCTTCAGTTTGGGTCCTGATGGGGGGAGTACAGCGTGCCAACCTAACTACAGACATGCTACCCACGGCTTCAGAGGTAAATGGAATTAGTTTTGTACTTAAGATAGGGATTTGGTCTCTGACATTACTTAGAATTATTAAATCAGGGAAA